ACCACAAGGTCGGCAGTGTGAAACGACCAGCCACTCTGAGAGAAAAATGGGGATTTCTACTCCTATAAAGAGTTACAGCCTCAGAAACCCCCGGGGGTAACTCTACTCTGTCCTATAGGGTCATGCGGACAGAATAGACTGGAAGGCAGTGAGTTTACAATCTACAAAATTTGAGAGTGAAACTTAAGTTCAGGAGCTGACAGAGCATTCTCCTTGCAATGCATGGAAACAATTCTGAGTGACGGTAAATCTACTGAGTCGGAATCTCTCAGACTACCTGTCACCTGGATTACAGCATGGAAGGGAATCCACCACACCGGGGAGACACTGGCCCTCTTTCAGGCCACTCCTCTGGTCTGGGTCCGCAGCAAGCACTGACTTGCTGACGAGTACCTGAATGCTAGGAAAGAGAATCATTGGACAGTGCATCTCTCTCTTCCTTTAGAGAACTGCATGTTACACACATGCAGAGACATACAGTATCTAGTCCCAAAGCAAGGCACTGGAGGACCATAAAAGTGTTACGTTTTTCGTGCTTGCTTCGGCGGCACATATATTAAAAAGTGTTACGTTTTTCATTATGTAAAACTCTGTAGGCCTGCTGGTCTTAAGAAAATTGGCCTCCTGTTTTCAAAATCCATTTAAGGATGAGCAGCTTGCTGTAAAGACCTGTCCAGCTAAATTGCAAGCAGTACAGTGTCTGGTATTAGGCAGGCTTTTGCATCATTTCCTCCTCAAAATTAATCCTAAAGATTGCTGCTCCATGATCTAGATCACCTTAGGATGCTTTATACACTGGACTACACATCAGACGTACCTGTGCTTGCTTTTATCATACAGAATGCTGGGCCCCGTCCAGACCACTGAATGGGATAAAGTGAATGAGCTTTACTTTGTCTATGCCCAGAGCTTTGATGAGGACAAAGCGATTAAATTACCATGACTTACAACTGCGAAGTAAATAGTATTCTTGCTATGTAACAGACCGAGAGATAGGGCCCAAATAAGTTAACATGCTTACAACTATATATCCAAAGTCTAGAATATTCTGAGTAGAAACCACCTGTCATGCCACTGGAGTGGAATTATCCAGGAAAGGCATTAAACCCTTATTCTGTTGAAGAACTCGAGACTGATGACGCTTTTAAAATAGTTTTTAACAATGTGTACTAAGTAAGAGGAAACGGAAATAAAATGTAAAGCATATTGCTTTCACGCAGTCTCTACAATTCTGTATCTTATGAAGAAAGGGAAAACAGTCACAAAAAATAAATCCTGCTAGTCACACCTCATTAATAAGAAGTTACCGTATATACTTGAGTATAAACCGACCCGAATATCAGCCGA